ACAATGACAAAGTGCTATCAACGTCATATTATAACATTAGTTTAAATTTCAGCCCGATCCGTCCAAACCTGTCAGATCACTATGTCAGTCAGTCACCTTTGAGTTATATATATTTAGATATTGAGCCCTCATATGTACCTGTAGGTTATAGCTGATAACAATGCATTAAAATAGCATTTGCATAGACGTGTTTTAGTTTGAAAAAATATAAATAATCTTAATTGAAATAAACTTAATACATATAATTAGTAAAAATCACGGGATCTTACCACGTTTTATATTTATAGACTCTCTAATGCCTGGAATCCAGTGATTGGTTTAATTAAACAAAAACAAAAAACGCGATCAAAAAGTGTATTAAATATACGTGAAGATACTGTGAGTACAGTTTGCCGAGATGAATATCGAGCGAGTTCCAGTAGTAGCAACAATGTCCGCATATGTCTGCCCATAAAAAGATTTCATTTTCCATCTACCCTCTGCTCTTCAGTTCACCCGTGATCATGGTGGTTGAAACACTACAGAAATATCGGGAACTCAGCAAATAAATATAAAACATAAATAAGTGATTTTTACTAATTATATGTATAAATAATGACCGCATCAAGTTTAAATAGTATAAAACTTAATACATATAAGCACTTTATAGTCATATTTTTTATTCCACCACTCATATGAAACGCAGACTCATCAGACGAGAGTTAGCACAACGTTAAGTACTGAAATTGTTGTGCATAATTTTATAGCATTTAAAACTTCAGGACTGGCACAACAAAACTTGGGACTTGGGAATTCAATGTATTGAGGGGAAAGGTATTTGCTTGTACGATGTCAGGCTGACCTCCACACGGTTCCCCCTGGAAACCATCGTGGTAAATTCCCATTTGCCAATATGGGATAACGAATCTGACCTCATGCTCATCCTATCATCCTCCACTGGTGCCCCGCCAACGTAAAGCGCTAGCGCAGGTTAGTGTTCCATTCTATTATCATCCATAAAAAGAAATAGAAATAGAAATAATCTTTATTCAAATAAACTTAATATAAGCACTTTTGAATAGTTAAGTTTTTTTATTCTACCGCTTATTCGGAATGCAGATTCATCACAAGAAGAATAAGCAAAAAACTTGTGTGTTGCTCAAAAAAAAAAATTGTATTGTATAGTTGCTAAAAAAATTGTATAGGTACTATACATATATTATGTGTATATTAAGTAATAACAAAAAAAATCTAATATATTCTGTTCTATTCTGGATTAGTAATCTAAGATAGAGCATTACCACAACCAATAAAAAAGCTCTTGGATTTCTTCTTATTACTAACTAGCTGTACCCGCGACTTCGTCTGCGTGGAGTTTAACTTTATTTTTCTAAAATAAAAGTAGCCTAAGTTACTTCTTATTACATCAGCTACCTACCATAAAAAGTCCCGTCAAAATCGGTCCAGCCATTTCAAAGATTAACCGGAACAAATTGACAAACAGACAAAAATTGTAAAAAAAAATATTTTGGTGTATGTACCGTATTTACGAGTATATGCATATAGTAAAAAACGGTTATTTCAATATTACAAACAGACACTCCAATTTTATTTATATGTATAGATAAGACGCCTTCTCCTTTCTCCAAAGGGCAACAATTAAGGATAGTGACATGGCCTATAAGTGAGTTCAAAGGTGAGAGTCACATGGCGGTGTTAATCCAGGTGCTCAATAAAGAGCTGGTGACGACGTCGGAACAGATGGCGCGGTAATCCGGACCGGAGCCGACGCTAAGCCGCGCCGACGTGCAAACACGACCTATGTTAGGATTACACGGCAATTAGTTAACATTCTCGTTTAGTTAACACTTTGCTATAGCTACGTCTCCTTCCAATGAAGCGCAATGATAGGGACGACCGATGACACGTGTCAGCATGTGTTTAGAAGCGAGTGCTCCCGATCGATTCGGCCCAAGTTTATCTGCAATCTATACATATGAGTTAAAATGAAGTGTCTGTTTGTAATATTGAAATAACCGTTTTTTACTACATGCATATGAATATAAATACGGTACATACATCTAAATAACATTTTTTACAATTTTGTCTGTCTGTCTGTTTGTTTGTTCCGGCTAATCTCTGAAATGGCTGGACTGATTTTGACGGCACTTTTATTGGCAGGTAGCTGATGTAATAAGGAGTAACTTAGGCTACTTTTATTTTCAATTAGAAAAATAAAGTTTAATTCCACGCGGACGATGTCGCAGGAACAGCTAGTCTATACATACATCAAAATAACTTTTTTTACAATTTTGTCTGTCTGTTTGTTCCGGCTAATCTCTGAAATGGCTGGACCGATTTTGACGGGACTTGTTTTGACAGGTAGCTGATGTAATGAGGAGTAACTTAGGCTACTTTTATTTTAGAAAAATAAAGTTAAAATCCACGCGGACGAAGTCGCGGGCACAGCTGGTAGTTTGAATAAATAAACAGGGTCGCGGGACATCACGCGTATATTTTTCTTTGTCACTAGAAAAATATTCTTAAACGTTTAGTTTAATTCTTCACGTCGTCGGAGCGATTTCGAATATTTTCATATATTATGTGGGATTTACTCGTACGTTTATCGTTTAACGTTTTCGAGTTACATCCGTGTTGTTTTGTTACAATACAACGACGCTTTCGCATTATGTGGGTATTCAAATAATTCAAAATATCTTTATTCATGACTATACATAGAAATACAAATAGAAATAATCTTCATTCAAATAAACTTCATATAAGCACTTTTGAATAGTCAAGTTTTTTGATTCTACTGCTCCTTCGGAATGCAGATAGAAATAATCTCTAGTCAAATAAACTTAAGCACTTTTGAATAGTCAAGTTTTATTATTCTACCGCTCATTCGGAATGCAGACTCATCACAAGAAGAATGAGCAAGAAACTTGTGTTGCTCTTTTAAATAAATATTGATTTACTTATATTTAATTAACAACAAGGATTAGGCATGCGACAATCAACATAGAAACCGCTACGCACATAGACCTACTATAACAGACTCTTATGTCAAATCTACCGTCAGTTCGGAATGATTTCAAGATGAAAAGAACTGACAAGAAACTCGGAACTCTTATTCGTTGCGTAAAATTCTAAGTACCCGTATAAGTTTATATTTTACTTAATAGCTAACAAAACATTGCCAATAAACTGAAATCTATACATATAAATAAAAATGGAGTGTCTTTGTTTGTAATATTTTCCTATTGTTCCTAATCCTAATTCCGTTTTTTCTATACATGTATATGAATATAAAATAACAGTTTTTTACCACATGTATATGAATATAAATACGCAACATACACCAAAATACCACTTTCTAAAATTTTTGTCTGTCTGTCAGTCGTTCTGTTTGTTCCGGCTAATCTCTGAAATGGCTGGACCTATTTTGACGGGACTTTTTTAGCAGGTAGCTGATGTAATAGGGAGTATCTTAGGCACTTTTATTTTAGAAACATTGTTTTATTTTAGAAAAATAAAGTATAATTCCACGCGGACGAAGCCGCGGATACAACTAGTTTCGAGATGAGAACTGACAAAAAACTCAGAACTCTTATTCCTTGCGTAAAATCCTAACTACCCGTATAAGTCTATATTTTATTTAATAGGTAACATTAAATAAGGGTAAATATTGTCAATACACTGAAATCTATACATATAAATAAAATTGAGGTCTGTTTGTAATATTGAAATACTTTTTACTAGATGCATACGAATATAAATACAGTACCTAACTACCTAAAATTACCTTAGTTAGTAACCTACCTAAATATTTTTTTTTATAATTTTTGTAAGTCTGTCTGTACCGGCTAATCTCTGAAATGGCTGGACCAATTTTGACGAGACTTTTTTTGGCAGGTAGCTGATGTAATAAGGAGTAACTTAGGCTACTTTTATTTATAAAAATAAAGTTAAATTCCACGCGGACTTCCAAATAAATTTAATTTCATAAACGCGCTATTGTATACGATTGAGGTAATTGCAGGTAGGTACGTACATCTGAAGCTATCTGTATGCACAGATTCAGCTTAGTAAATAATAACATTATAATATAATGGAGAAAACCATAGTGAGTGGTATTTGTGGGGGGAACTTGAGCGGTGCGCCTCCGCGTGATGAATTTATTCGCGAAATGAAGAGAGGGCGCAGAGGGTGGCGGCGCGGGGGTGCGGGGGTGCAGGCGGCGGCCGGGGCGGATGTCACCCCCGGGAGGCTGGGGGTGGAACGCTGCAGCACGCTTGAACCCTTAAAGGTTTCATTAACCATGAAAATTACAATTCCCGACTCACTCCACATTTTCCGCTCCGATTTCGCTGTCAATTTGCTTTTAAATGGAAGACGTTCGATATATATAGCGAACAGTGAGTGATGTACGTACATCACTTACGGGAAATTATATTTTTTATTGAATGGGGAAATAGAAATAATATTTATTCAAATAAACTTAATATGAACACTTTTGAATAGTCACATTTTTTTATTCTACCACTCATTCGGAACGCAGATTCATCACAAGAAGAATGAGCAAGAAACTTGTTTGTTGCTCTTTTGAATAGATTTTTTTTTATATAAATAACTAGCTTTTGCCCACGACTTCGCTCGCGTTAATTTATTTTTTTAGGGGTGGATTTAATCAAAATCCTTTCTTAGGCATCCCACGTCATAGTAGCTTTATACATGCAAAGTCCCAGCCCGATCGGTTTAAAATTGACAAAGTTTCATACAATCTTTCATCCCCTATTTTATCCCCTTAGGGGTAGAATTAATCAAAATGCTTTCTTAGCGGATACCTACGTCCTAACATCTACCTGCATGCAAAATTTCAGCCCGATCCGTCCAGTGGTTTGGGCTGTGCGTTGATAGATCACTATGTCAGTCACCTTTGGGTTATATATTTAGATTTCTCAATAACAATTAAGAGACTATGCCGAATGTAATGTGTTGCAAACTCTTTGCACATTTTTATATATTTATTTTTCTATCAATTTTGAATGTATTTTCTTTTAGAATTGTCATATATTTTTTATTGTCACTTTCCCTTTTTGCCTACAACCGTTTGTACACGTATCTATCTTCATTATAAGTATTTTCCATTTTCTATCCATTGTTTGATTTACATTACACATACAGTCCACTCATTCTATCACCTACATTTTGGTCCTTCGAGGCAAACAAAAAAGAATACCATCCCAATATTTTCATTTATTGTTTTATTCGTAGTACATAGTTTCATACATATATTGTAGTGCCATCAGTACCATCATTCATTTATGATCACTCGCAGTAGAAGTAAAATCATGGCATCACATGACGTTCCTACTACATCTCACGCCGAACCATTATGTCATAGTCGCGGTTCATCAATTGTAGACGTAGTTGATAGGATTTGTGTAGACGACGGCGACGCCGCGTGTAGTTTGCGTTCAGCACAATCCAAATCTCGGGTTTCATCTTCGTCCGTAAAGGCGCGTAAGGCTGCTGTTGAAGCCGCTTACAAGCGACGGCAGTACGAGCGCGAGGCTATGCTTGCACAACGTCTTTCGGAAGTTGAAGATGCCGAATTCCGTGCCGAGATCGAACAAATCAATGCGGATGCGGACTGTGAAGGTAGCAGGCGAAGTAGGAGCACATCTACTCGTATGAGAACACAGCAATGGGTAAAGAACAATGTAAATACTAAGGTATGTGACAACAGTGAGGAACAACGCGAGGTCCCACAGCCCAGCTATCTGGCACCTACGGTACCGGTAGCCTCTCAGGCTGCTGCTTCGCAAATAGCAGCACACCTCTCGTATCCAACACATGTAGGTTCTGTTCCCCATACATCCAGACAGGCGGCCATGCCACGACCGACCTCACACTCCCTGGCAAATGTAGCGGGTGAACAACAGCATGTGGCAATATTAGGCAATAACGATGGTAATTCACATTTATTTTTACAAATTACCGCCAACATGGCTGATGCAGCCAATGCTTTAGCCACAGCTCAGGGCATGCGGAAGCACTGTAGGACAGAATTATTTCCGTTTACAGGGAACGCATTGCAGTGGCTACAGTTTAAAAAATTATTCAATGTTTCTAAATCGTCTTATTCTCCTGTAGAGAACGTTGCACGTTTACAAAACGTGCTCCGTGGCCCCGCACGAGAAGCCGTCTCTTCACTTCTCGTCTCTGCAGAGGATCCCGAAGAGATCATGTGCGCACTCGAGCGTAGTTTTGCGTCACCCGAGATGATCGTCTTCGGCGAGGTACAAACGTGGAAGTCGCTACCGCGGTTGGGTAACGAACTTAAAGAATTAAGTAGTATTGCTAACAAGGTACGAAATAGTATTTCTACTATAAAATTGTTAAATCGTAGGGAGTATTTACATTCTCCAGAATTATTTTACTCTATTTTAGGAAAATTAAATCCTAACATAAAATTAAGGTGGACAGATTACGCGTCTGAATTTAGTCAAGCGAACCCGGACCTATCTAAGTTAGAGGTTCTGTCTGAATTTTTGACAAGAGAGCACGAGCGTCATGTTAGTTTCTGCCTATCTCCTGAAGGGGCACTTTCTTTAGCAACACAACAGATGCACATAAGTCATTTTGCTAATAAACAATTTAAACGTGAAAATATACATTCTACGTCTCATTCCAAATTAAAAATAAATAAGGTCGAATGCGTTTATTGTAAAAGAAGTCACAACAGTAAATCTTGTGACGAATTTAAGTCACTGTCACTCGACGACAGATGGAGTTGGCTACGAAAATGTAAGGTTTGCTACAAATGTCTTCGACAGAGTTCACATTTATGGAAGTCATGCAAGGTAAATCCTTGTGGAATAAACGGCTGTTCCTTTCGTCATCATCCTCTTCTCCATGGTAGACAGGATACGTTAGTGTCGTCCCAGGCACCCGATACACTGCTCACAAATAATACAGTGTGTGCCACTGCAACTCAAAATGAGATGCTCACGGCAACGTCTCCTGACGTCATAGAGGAAAATACGGTTTTCATTAGCAACACCGGTATTTCGCAAACCAAACGAACCCTGTCAACGTATACAAATGTTTTATTAAAAATTGTACCTGTCACTGTTTTCGGACCAACTGGTAGTTATGACACATACGCATTGTTAGACGATGGTAGTACGGCCACATTAATTGATTCAATCGTTGCCACTCAAATCGGACTAACTGGACCCAAGGAACCTATAACTGTGAATGGTATAGGTGGCCTACATAAAAACACTACCATTAGTTATGTAGATTTTTATATAAAAGGTAAGTATACAACTGACACTTACTTAATAAAACATGCTAGGGCTATAACGTCACTTGGTTTACATGCGCAGTCATTGCACAAAGAGACATTGACAAGTTATAACCACTTACGCGATTTATCCGAGTTTTTGTCACATAATAATGCTACACCTATATATATATAAATCTCTCGTGAAGTTCGTACTGGTAAGCGCAATGAACCTGTAGCCTGTCGTACGTTATTGGGTTGGACTTCATACGGAGTTGATTGTAGTAAAAGTAAACCTACTGAACGTATTAATTATTGTCAATTTTCGACTAGTGTGTTGTCCAATAACATAAGTAAACACCGATGGTATACGGAGCCGTCATTACAGTCTCCTAAAAAGTGGCCTATAGAACCACCTGTTCAGCCCGTTATTCAAACTGAACATGAACAACGCATTAATTCATTGGCTGTTCATCGGGTCATTACATCTAATTCTGTTCCATTCCATCACTGGTCACTTTTATATCGCGCCATTTCTCGTATTTTTGATGTTTTTAAAATTCGCTCGTTTATAGATCGCGTGATTCCTGGCTCAAAAATAGTTGCTCGCAATCAACGTAAGATGTCTGCGTCCACCACTTTATCAATGACAGCAGAATTGATAAAATCTACAGAAAGGCATATCTTACATCGCGTTCAACAAGATAGCTTCAAAGAAGAAATCCAGTGTATCACGAGACCACAACCAATCGCGAAAACGAGTAACATAATTAAAATTGTCACCTGGAGAAGACAATCTCGTGCGCTCAGTTGGAAGTATAAAGGATGTACTGACTACTTACGCAGCACCGTACAAAGCGTAGTCTGTCGCCACTATCATTATCATAGAAGACAAAAAAAAAAAGAAAAGCTTAATGACTGGAGATCTTCCTCCTCAACGGCCTGCTCACCATCACCGTCCATTCACAGACAGCCACGGTAAGGTTACTGTCGGCCGAAGATATGAAAAACATATTGCTCTATCCACCTGATTAACATCTAGAGCTATTTAATTATTTAGAGCTTGTCCACAACCTGTCTGCAGAGTCCACCTGATCAGTTTAGTCTCCCAATCCTGATTTTGCTGCCAACAGAGCTACATACCAGCAGCTGCCCCGTCTTTTGGAGGTTGTTGAGAGAGACTCGTCCCGCTATACAAAAGTCGCTTTAAATTGACCGTTCATTGATTGGCCGTCTATTGACGAAGCATAAGCCACAGTCACTCATCCTCTGTCATGGCTTAGTGGAAAATGATGACGAAGAAATCCCAACAGGTTTTATTTGGATCGTCATTTAACCGAATTAAAACTGAAGCCTTACATGACAGAGACTCGTTCGGTAAGCTAAAGAAGATTTCAGACTCGATGAAACCACAATTGAATTATAATACAGAGCGCAATCCTAAACATTAGCGACTTGGTTGTGATCGTGGATGAAAACTTACCTACCGAGAGTAACTTCGTGGATCCAGTACAGCGACTTTTCCAAGGAAACAACAGTGTTGTTAAGGTGGTGGACGTAGCTACTGCAGGGGTTTGCTTCGCCGCCTCTTCAAAAAGTCTTATAAAACACTTAGATTTCGGTTTCTCCTTATTTAGGCTAGTTTGTGCAGTTCCGCACCAGGGGTCGGTATGTTGCAAACTCTTTGCACATTTTTATATATTTATTTTTCTATCAATTTTGAATGTATTTTCTTTTAGAATTGTCATATATTTTTTATTGTCACTTTCCCTTTTTGCCTACAACCGTTTGTACACGTATCTATCTTCATTATAAGTATTTTCCATTTTCTATCCATTGTTTGATTTACATTACACATACAGTCCACTCATTCTATCACCTACATAATGACTCTTGTTTTATTAATTTATGTGTGACATGTATACGAATCGTCTGTATGTTTGCAGTTGTGTCAATAACTTGTCGTACAGCTCTCGTCCGACGGACAGGAGAGGCCGCGTGCTGCGCCAGTGTCGTTCGAGAGATGCCTCCCTGCTCTGTGTGCACGCCCCGCCCACTGCACACAGCCTCCGTACTTACAGCGCATCCCGTGCACCGTACACATGCATGTGGGTGGTGTACAGGTACTTGCCTATTGTGCACGGTATCCTGTGTCCATTGAAATATATGTAAGTACCTACCCAATACTAAATATACGCTACGTAAGAGGGCGTTATCTGTATAAGAAAGTCAATATTACTAGTCGCTAAATATGTTAAAGCTACACATTCATACCAGGTCAGTTTCAATATAGGTAGAACAATCAAAGCAAACTATTGTTTGCTTCCTAATAAAGTAGGTACGTGACATATCTATATAAATAAAATTAGAGTGTCTGTTTGTAATATTGAAATAATCGTTATTTACAACATGCATATGCATATAAATACGGTACGTACAGCAAAATAACATTTTTTCATCTGTCTGTTTGTTACGGATAATCTCTGAAATGGCTGCACCGATTTTGACGGTACTTTTATTAGCAAGTAGTTGATGTAATAAGGTGTAAGGTGTAATGTAAGGTGTCTAAGGCTACCTACTTTTATTTCAGAAAAAATATTTTATTTTAGAGAAATAAAATTTCAAGTTGCGAGTACAGCTAGTATATATATATAATTGACACCAACAGTTATACCACTAAAATAAAACATTACTTTTCTATCTAATTTTAGTTTACCTATTATTTGGTCAGTTTATTTATATGAAAGGAGTAAACGCATAATCGACACCTTCGGTATATAGTTTACATATTCATGTAGATTTCTTTAAAAACTAGATATCATTAAATAAAACGTTCTGTCCATTTCGAGTCAGCCGTGATTTAATTTAGATCCAAATCCTACCTACTCCTTCAAGAGTATCAACTCTACATCGCCAACGCCAGTACGAGTTGTGGTTCGTCTGATCGGGTCACCAACACTGATTACACTATTTGCTTTAGCAATAGCATATGCTGGCGGTCACTCTATTCTCCCAAGTTTGAATTTAAAAATGAATCTGTATTATTGTAAACATGTACAACATTTACTTGAAAAGAATACGAGCTGAGTTACTTGTCAGTTCTTCTCATCTCGAAATCTGACTGACGGTAGATTTGACATATCATAAGTCTGTAATAGACCTACATGAATAAAGATATTTTGAATTTGAATTTCTATAAAGTCTACAACAGACCGGGTAGCTATAGTGGCGGAGTGGGTTGTCACACGTCAAAGATTCACATACTGGTTTCCTGTTCTGATTAGCGATCTGTTGTCGCCAATAGCCGGTATCGGGCCGCTGTTATCTATCAGCAATTACAGGGCGAGCGGCCGCAGCGCTGCGTGCCGCGCCTCCCCGCGAGATGTGCCCATAAATTAAATGATAGAGAGGACAAAGCCGATGGTGATGCGATAGTGGGACACAAAGCTCTCGTCGTTTTGCTCCGGTTGGTGCGACGAGATAATTCCGGGACGGCGACGCTATCGCGGGAGATACGATCGTGTGACACCAGCCGCCCTCGCCCCCCGCACCACCGCGCCCAGACACATTATGGTGACAATTGTTGCGATAGCGATCCATTGAGATGCGACTGCGCCTGCACCCGCCTGCACCCGCCTGCACCCGCCTGCTCCCCGCCCGCGGCCCCGGGCAGCACCTCTACGTATTTTAATATCGCATAGCGAGGAGCATTGTGCTGACACCGCTCACTAGTTACATTTCCACCTTTAATTAGGTAACATATATACTACACTAGCTATACCCGCGACTTCATCCGCGTGGAATTTAACTTTATTTTTCTAAAATAAAAGTAAGCTAAGTTACTCCTTATTACAATAGCTACCTGCCAAAAAAAAGTCTTGTCAAAATCAGTTTAGCCATTTCAGAGATTAGCCGGAACAAACAGACAGGCAGACAAAAATTATAAAAAAAAATATTTTGGTGCTGTATTTATATTCATATGCATGTAGTAAAAACGGTTATTTCAATATTACAAACAGACACTCCAATTTTATTTATATATATAGATATAGGTACATTTATTTTCTTGAATTGTACCTGAACGGGTACATACAAA